GCCAGTCCTGCCCTCCAGCAGTAAGGAAAGAGGAACACGGCAGGAGCGCATATGGGGCTGTTGTGTCAAATGAAATTCACACGAGATATCAAAGAGCTTTTCAGAAGATCTCACCTGTCCATCAGCTTTGGTCTCAGCTGCCCTGCGCTGGCTCTTTCAGCAGGGAGATGACTTCACCCAGGCTGCTCCAACTCGCAGCCCCTGGGGTGCAGGGACCCTACTTGGAATGACAACCCGCGGTACCCCTGGCTGCACAGCTGGCTGCACACCCCTGAAACCACCCCCGGGAGAAGGCAGGCATCACACACACCCCTTTGATGGTGCACTGGGGAATCCAATGCTTCTCCAGCCCTGCTACTGGGAAATTAAAAGAGGAAGCTCACAAGCCCCTGGCAGCCCCAAGGAGCTGTCCCAAGGATTGTGGGTGACCCACATCCGCTGCCTGCAGGCTGCCCTGTAGCCCTGTCAGCGGGTGCTGCTACCCATCCCCCAGTGGACCTTCCTGCACACCTTACTTTAGAGACACATCCTCTACACCACTCTGATCTGACAAACCATTTATCCCTCCTCCCCCATTTCTCTTTTTTATTTGTGTTCTTTTTCTTGTCTGGTTTCAGCTGAGGTTTTCTTGTTCTTCCATCTTTCCATGAACCTGCACTCGATAAATGCAGGTGTAGGCCGTGTTTCCCCAGTTGCTCTTCACAATAAGTTTGATGTGCGCAAAGGCTCTGTGCGTGTTCTGTGAAGAGAGTGACAAGAAAACTGAGGTGTTAAGTGTGACGGTGCAATTGACGTTTCTCCCCCTGCCTGCCCTGCTCCTGCTCAGGAACAAGCTTCCAAAAGTGGGTAGGAGTGGCTGTAGGCATCTGAGGCTCACTGCTGGTACCAGGGCTCCTGCAGAGACTGGAGGCACGGGAAGGGAGAAGACACCCTCTGGAACCTGGCCTGCTGGGGACTGCGCCTCCCTTCCCTTTGCCCCTTTCCCTCTGCAGCTTGCTGTGTGCTGACAGAGAGGCTGGGGAGGTCCTCCTATGCGTGAGACAGTTGGTGTGAAAGTTCATTAAGCTCCCGCCATGCTCTCTGCCTGCCTTCCTCCTGGCAGGTGTGGGGGCACCAGGAGAAAAGGGACGTGTTGTGCTGGGAGGAAAGGACACTGTCCAGCCTGTCAGCAGGCCACAGGGTGGAGCGATAGTGCTGCCCGGCAGCTTTCCCCACCAGGCATCCCTATTTCTCCTGGCACGAAGATGTTGCTTTGGTGGAGAGGCCATGTGTGCAGCTGGCTCTGCTGAAGGCAGCAGCTGCAGCCAGGGGTCTCTCAGGACTTAAGCTCCCACAGGAACAACCCTGCCCTTGCAAACCTGTTGCTGCTACCCCCACGGCATGCTACTCAGTCCTCCCAGCTCCACCAGGCCTCCTCGGCAGTGGTCTGGGCCCCTGCGCCAGGGGAGAGAGCATTCACGCTCTTCCTGCCACGGACTTGCAGGCACTGCTGGTTTTCTCCTGGGCATCTTGCCTTCATGCACAGACTGTACCTTCAGAGGGAAGGTTTGAATAGCCTCTTTTGCCACGTTGTACACGAACATCCCAAGGAGAGTTTCCTCTTCTCTGTCTGCATTCAATCCCTCAAGGGAAAAGCACAAGGAGGAAGGAGAGAAGCTCAGACTTGTCCCGGCAAAGAGGATGTTTGTATGTGCTGGATCAGCATATACTGCATGGGCTGTTACCTACTGAGCCTCTCCTGGGGCTCTAGCAGTAGTTAAGCACTGTCTCCACCTTGTGTTTTATTCAAGAGCCCTGAGGTGCTCTCACCAGAATGAGTCTTGAGAGGGATGGAACCCCTAGAGCCCCTGAAGTATCCTGCAAGTGCACTGCAGGGCTTAGGAGAAAGCAGGACACAAATCTCCAAGGACTTGCTTGCACAAAGCTTGCACAAAGCAAGCAAGTTCCAGTCACGGCTTTGCCCCAGGGCCACGTGCCAGCCAGAAGCACCCAGCAGAGACTTACAAAGACAGCGATGTCTCGGGGGGCACTGGTGACGGTCCCAGATGGAGAGACCTCTTTGTAGGTGTGCTGCACACTGACAGCAGTCAGATGGACTCGTGCTGGCAACCTGATGACCACCTGGCCCTGGTGCCCATGTAATGGCCAGCAGTTTCCTGGGGAAATATCCGGCTGCAATCAGAATGTGAGAGTTAATGAAACGTGAGCCCATGTTCAGTTCAACACAGCTGCTCATGTAGCCTGAAGCACAGGTGCTGGTGTGTCTGGGGGGTCTAGTCCAGCTTGAAAATGAGGCTTGAAAATGAGACACAAGCAGCAGCCTCTCAGTATTATGAAAAGAGGAGAATACCTGTTACTAAGCCAACCTAGTCAGGCCCTTACAGACACAGCTCTCTGCCCAGTGGCTCTGCAGAGGACCCCCTGCCTCCCACCCCAGAAAGGAACTGTTAGGGCTGAGTATGGAAATGAGGTCACCAGGGAGAAAGTCGTTCACCCAGCTGTGACTGAGGACTGTGGGCAACATGCCGCAGTTGAGCTCTGTTCCCCTCCTGAGGGGAGCCACTGCTTTCTATCGAGGCCAGCCCTGAGTCCAAGCTTTGGCTTCAGGCAACAGATCAGCACTGTGGGCTTGAGCATTACCACTGGACTGAGAGGACAATGCCCAAGGTCAGTCCCCAGCTTCTCAGGAAGGAAACATGCACTGGTGGTTTCTGCTACAATACCTCCAAAATCGTATCAGGAGGGTTGGGAGTGTGGAAGAACCACAAAACCCTGCAGCCCCAATTCTCTTTGCAGTCATAGGTCTTTGAAGTTCTCTGCATGTCAATGGTGGCACCTGTAAGGAAGGGAGAGCAGGTGACTGCACGAGGCCACCGAGTAGGAGGACCCTGTGCTCAGACGCCCTTTCTGATGCTGCTGGACAGCTCCACATCTGTCAGTCCTCTCCTCATCTCCATGCTGGTAGGGGTGCCTAGCTGAGCAGGATGACAGCACCCATATGCCTGGTGTCTGCTCCTCTCAGCGCCACAAGTAGAAGGCCTGAGGGTGCTGGTGAATGAGGGCAGACCAAAGCTGAGGGCTTGCTGTGTGGGCAATAAAGGATGACCCATCCGTTCTCTTTCCAAATGCATTGATGAGGAAGAGAGCCCCTCCGTCAGCCCTGGAATGTGGGGGGGGCAGTGCCAGAGGCACCTGTGCAGAAGCGGGACCAGGAGGGAATCCAAGAGAGCCACTGCCACAGACATGCTCTCGGACCTCATGAAGCTCCCCTGCTTTCAGCTCCCCTGCTTAGGAGAGCAGCACCTGGAGGACATCCTCCTTTGGTGAGTGCTACAGACAAGTGCATGGCAAGGAGAATGGGCTGCTGTGTCCATACCAGAACTTTTCAGGGCCCAGTCAGATCTTCTGATGTAGACTTCCGAAGCCAACTCCAGGGCTGCCTGGTTCACCTCCTGCCTCTCCTGGGAAAGACACAAACAAGCACAGAAAATGAGCACGTCAGCAGTCAGTTCAGCATGGCTACCAGCACCCAGAAAGGCAGAGGGTCAGTGTCAGAAACACAAGGCAAGCCTTGTCCAGTAAGCTGAGAGACTGCAGCTGACGTGAGCCACAAGCACAGTATATGTGGCCACGACCATGGGGTCCTCACTGCCTTGTTCCCACCTTCCATGCTCAGGCCATGTCCACAAAGGCTGGCCATGGGAGTGGGCCTGGGTCTCCCTGCTGCTCAGGGCCCAGCCAGAGCAGCCAAAGGTGCCCGTGCCAAGGGAAGAATGCTGGAAGATTCCTACTGCCTGAAGCACCAGTTAACCTGGGCCCAGAGAAGGGCCTGGGCAGTGCCAAAGCTCACCCAGCAATCCCCTGGCACAAGCTGGCTTGCTGCGCTCAGTAGGCTGAGCCCACTACTAATCCCAGGTAGTGCTTCCTCAGGGCTTCTGCCCAGCCAAGCCTTCTTCTCCAAAATGCAGGGTTACCTTCTTCAAACGGCTTATCTCCACCTTCAGCTGAGCCACCTCCTCCAGCAGAAGCTGCAACTTTTGGGTTTGCTCTGTCAACAAGGTGTGCAAATTCCTGCAGGAACAGGAAAGCAGATGTTGTCAGAGAGCAGCCCATTCCCTCTGCAAGGAGCAGAGACACAGGGCTTTCTGGTTTGTGAATGCTTCCCTTCCTCCCCACGCTGAAAGAAAGGCAATGGCCAGAGGGAAGTACAGGAGCCGTGGCTGTTAGAAAAATGGGTGCAGGTAGCATGAGGTTGTCCTGGGTTCAGCCGTAGCAGGTATTTTTCTCCTTCTCAGTAGCTGGTGCAGCACTGTGGTTTTGACTTTCAGCCTGGGAACAGCGCTGATAACACCGCTGGTTTTAGTTGGTGCTCAGTAATGTTTACTCTGACCAAGGACATTCTGAGTCTCATGCTTTGCCAGGGAGGAGGGGAAGCCGGGAGGAAGCAGAGAGAGGACACTGCACCCAAACTAGCCAAAGAGGTATTCCATACCACGGCACGTCATGCCCAGTATATAAACGGGGCAGTTACCCGGAAGGGCTAGATCACGGCTCTGGTCGGGCTGGGAACCATTAAGCCGGTGGGGAGCGGTTGTATTCTCTTCCCTTGTTATTCCCTTTATCATTATTATTACTGGTGGTAGCAGCAGTGGTTTGTGTTACACCTTAGTTACTGGAGTGTTCTTGTCTCAACCCGCGGGAGTTACATTCTCTTGATTCTCCTCCCCATTCCTCGGGGAGCAGGGGGACAGAGAAGAGGGGGAGTGAGCGAGCGCCTGCGTGGTTCTGAGTTACGGGCTGGGCTTAAACCATGACAGGTTGGCTGATGCTGTTTGCATAGGTCCAATTCCAGCTCAGGAAACATCTCTTACCTCAGCATCTTTGTTTCTGCTGCGGCTGCCCGTGTCAGAGCCTGAAAGGGAAAAACTCTCTGTTAGAGTATCCACCACCAGAGCTGCTGGGGTTTCCCAGGAGAGGCTTCCCTAGGAAGCCCCGGCAAAAGCCACTGCTTCTTTGGCTCACTCTGTGTGGACACAGAAAAGCCCACGATTTAGCCAGCCACTGTCAGCAATGCTCCCTTGCAGGAGCTGCCTGTCCCAGAGGGTCCACCAACCTCTCTCTGTGCCTTTGCCTGCATTGTCCACGCTGGCAGTGAGGTCCCACAGTAAACACCAGCTGCAATTCACATCACCAAGAGACAGTCACTTGACCTGGGTTGCTAGTGGTCCCTGAAGCACCGTGGTCTCCTCCTGGTTGCCTTGTGGATGGGGCAGCAGCTAAGCTGAGGAGGTGGGGAACACAGGGTGCAGAGACAGGACGTGCCTCTGACTGGAAACCATCACCACAGGCTTCAGGGCATTGTGTAGCCATGAGCTTCAGGTGTGCTCGGTGACCCAGAGCTCTTTCCCATTTCCCCTTACTGCTTCTGTGAGCCCTGAGACCAGGCTGCATCAGCCAGGAGAGGTATCAGGAGGGGCATCAGTCACCCTGCACAGCCCCTCTGGGTATCCCCCAGTTCAGGCTTGGAAATACATGCTCCCTTCTCTCGCAGGCTTGCAGACTAAGCAAGCCCTTTGGTCCTGTGGCCAGTGCAGCAGCATGGCTGGGAAGCTACCAGTCTTACTGGTAGCTAAAAAGCAAGTCATTGTCAAGGATGCACACCAGAAGCACTTGGACCATGCGAGTTTCCACACATATGGGCCAAAAAGAAAAGCTGGCACCCAGCACAACCAGGCTGTTACTCTCAAATGGTTGCTCACACAGACTCACCAAGAACCACTGGAAGCAAGAAGACAATGAATCTCAAGAACCTCTTCTTGTGCACGGCCATCTTTTGCCTGAAAAAGGAGGGTGTCCTATGTCTGTCAATGAGCCAGGTTTCGAGCAAACCAGCTGGATTACCACTTCCAGGCACGAAAGCCACTGTTTTGGAAGCCTGCTGCTGACAGACAGCTGCCAGGGAAGAGCCCAGGAGGAACACTTTCTGTCCACACCTTTCAAAACTGCCAGCAGCTCTTCCCCCAAAGAAGAACTCCAGGACTCACTACTCCCCGAAAGTAAAGAGGCTGAGCAAATCAAGACTTCCGCCTCCGCACCCCTGCGTCTGGCTACACAGCAGGTTGTCCTACCATGACCAAAGTCTGGGCCTCTGGTGAATGTGTGGCAGGGAGACTGCCCAGTGGCTTTACTCTTGGCTCTCCCTGAGAACGGCCACAACATGAGCAGTGCTTGTGAGAGTGGGGAGCTGGCTGAGGAACACCCCTTGCTCTCCCCTTTGCTTGCACTGGCCCTCAGACATCTCCTTTCTCCCCATGTCCAACACAGAAACACGGAGTACATACATACTCCTTTCCCCATCTCTGCTTGACAGCAAAGATGCAGCCTGCAGCGCAGGAACAGGAAGAAGCTGGGGGCGGCAGCAGCAGTCCCCATTGCTCGAAGCACAGCCGGCAGCACAGCCCAATTCTCACCCGCTCCCTCCCTGCACCCTGACCCCTGCAGCATGAGGCTACCGCCTCCCCAAAAGCCCAACAGCAGAAACAGGTAGTACGTACACAGTGAAGATACACACGATCAGCAGGTATCTCCACAGGGATGCAAGGGTACCTGCCGGATGGCAAACAAGGCTGAAGACCGTCCCTGGGCAAAGAAACCAGGGAAAAGTTAGGCCTCTGTCTTGAGGTCTCTTCTCCAGGATGCTCAGCCAAGAGCGTTTTGGCTCCCTGCAGGGAGGCAAGCACTGAGGCCTAGGCACCACCTCTCTGGGGTGAAGAGCAGAGCAGCCTGCATTTCTCCAGCCACTTGTGACATTTTGCCAGACTTCTGGCACAGTGCAGCGCTCGGAGTTCACCCCAAGGACTTTGCAGCAAGAACCAGTGCTGAGCTTACTTGCAAGTGCAGTGGCCTTGTCATGACGCTTGGGTGGCCCTGGAGAGGATGAGCTGGGAGTGGACTGAGGAAGGCGTTTCACCAGCTCCACCTCTGTGAAAAGGCTCCTGTGGGAGGAAAACAAAAAAGATGCCGATTGCTCGCAGTGCTTGCTGGGAGAGCAAGCCATGCTTTCAGCCACGGCCCACCAGAAGGGGGGCGGGCAATGCACAGGGCTCTTGCGCAGAAGCGTCTGTCAGCTTCCCCATGCTGATCCGTGACCTGCTGGCTGTATTAGGCCGTGTCCCAGCTACCGTCCTAAGCTGATGCCCCATGCACGAGCAGCCAACTTCGTACCTACTCGCCTGGCTGTGGCTCCGCCCTGCAGCCTCTCGTGCTGACCGTTGGTCAGCTGTGGTCTCCAAGGAGACATTTAAGGTCTCTTGGTCTCTTTTCCGTGGTGCCTTTCTGCTTGCCATCTCTGGGCAAAGGCAGCCTCCCTGCTCAGCTCTTCCTCCTAAGCCTCAGCAGTCTGGGCTCCTCAGGAAAACCAGTTCCAGCAGCAGCTCCACGCTGCCCTTCCACGGGAGTTTCCCTGCCCGGGGCAACAGTCACGTGCAGCTGTGGGCTCTTTCCCTGCCCCACAACGCTGTATGGGTGCCCAGTTCTGAGTCAAGATTGGCGGCTCTGATGTCACAGTGGGGCTCAGCAGGGCTCCCTCTGGGCTCCCCTGGGGCAACATGGGGACTGGACCAGACTGGGGCCTGCAGAGTATGGGAAATGGGGTGGGCTGGAGCTGGGCACCGTGACCACCCCAGCACTTCCTGGCCCTAGGCAAATAAAGCTTATCAGCTACACACAGACAGGAGGGATGACAAGAACAAACATCTCTCCTGTTGCCATGGGAACTCTGTTGTCCCTGCAATTAGCTCCAAGTGGCTGCCTGAGGACAAGTGTCTGCTTCACGGTGTCCCTCCGGGTGGCCACATCCTGCTCGGGGACAGAGCTGGCCTGGCCAAGGATGAGGGCATTGAAAGGACATCCCTTGGGGACAAGGGCCTTGGGTGACCAGTGTCCGAGTGCCACCCAGGGAGCCAGAGCCTTGCTGGGGACAGAGTCATTGGGACCCACCATCTGGAGGCAGCTCTGCAGAGTGGGACTCCAGTGATCTGGGTGGGTATGGTGGCCCCAGGCAGTGGCAGGCTGGTGGTCAGGGCAGGGGATATTCTGCTCCGTTCTCTGCACTGAGGAGGCCATGGCTGTGGACTGCCCAAGACTGGGGACCTCAGTGCATGGGAAATGGGGTGGGCTGGAGCTGGGCCTTCTGACCACCCCAGCACTCCTTCAAGCCGAACCCTCATCTCCCAGTGCCCAGCATTCACCAGTGCTCCCCATCGCCTCCTGTGACTGAAGATCCCAGTCACCCGGCAGTATCCCCACCTGCCAGTGCACCGCAGCTGTCCTCCCACCTCCCAGTGTTCCCTAATCCCGGGATCCTTCATGCCCCAGGAAGAGGGGTCATTCCCAGCCCCCTGGTTACCCAAAGGATGGAGAGGGGGCAGGGAGAGTTCTGCTCAGAGACCCCTGGTCTGAGGCTAGCAACATTCCTGGGGGAGTCCTGGGGGAAAACACAGTCCTGGGAGGCAGGCGGGGCTGGGAGATGGTAGTGCTGGGAGGTGAGGGGCACTGGGAGATAGGGGGATCTGGCTTTGGGGGCTGTTGGAAGGTGCTTTTGTGTTGGAGCAGTGGGCAGACACCATAGGAGGCCTGGCTGTCAGGGGTCCTTTGTTCCCCTTCACCAGCCCCAGACGCCTGGGCACTTGCATGTCCAGCTGCCCCGTGCAGGAAGCTGGACTGATGCCAGCAAAGGTGGTTGAAGCCATGCTGGAGGCAGGGGTGACTCTGTGCCTAGGCCGGGCTTGCTGCCAGGGCTGGTGTCTCTGCCAAGTCTGGCTTTGCCCTGGGGGCTCTCGGGGAGGGCAAGGAGGAGTCCTGGGAGGGATAAATCTGCCCCTCACCTTCTCCAGCCTCATCCAGGACTCACCACACCGCAGAGAAACATGAAGGTCGCAGTGCTCAGCATGGCCCTGCTCTTCACCATCCTGCTGTGCACCCCAGCAGATGCTCAGGTGAGTCCCCAGTGCCCCGTGGAGGGGCTCAAGGCTGGGAACAGGTCTTGGCTGCAAGATATCAGCTCCCCTGCAGGATGAAATCATAGTGGTGAGCATGAAACCCCTTGAGTTGGCTTCTCCCTTTCCCAAGCAAGAGGAAAGGGAGAAGCCCCAGGTGATGCAGCTTTCTGCCTTCCACAGTTCTGTTTGTTCCCAAGCTTCCACGCAGTATAGCTCCTGATACCCAGAGCCCAGCTATTGGTCCCCTCAGGCATCTCCTCCCTGGGATCTCCTCTCTGTCCTACCTAGGGTCCCCAGATGCCCTCCCTTTGATCGTTCCCAATGCCTTTGGGACGTCACCCCCCTCAGTCCTTTGCCTTTCATCCTGTCCACTGTGGTAATGTCCCCAGAAACGCTTCCTTGAACCCCAGCTCCCAAACACTCTCCCAGTCCCCTCACTTTGGTCCTCTGCAGTCATCCTTCTGCCTCTACCAACCACCACGCTTGAAGTCCCCGTATCTTCTGCACTTGAATTCCTCTACCCGACATTAACATCCCATACAGTCTTGTCCCTTCTGCGCCATCAGCCTGGTTAATTCACGCCAGTGCCCTGTCTTTGCGTCCCAGTCATCGTATCCCCTTTGGAGATCCCTAATTCCCCAGGCTGTCCTTCCCTCTGTCCTCACCCCTGGTCACTGCATGAACAGGTATCCCAGGTGCAACTTGGAGCAATGGGGTGGGGGGAGCAGAAGGGATCTTCCTGCTCAGACCAGAGGGAAGCCATGGGCCTGGGGAGGCTGGGGACCCCTGTACCCCACACAAAGCCCCACCAAGGTCCAATCCGGACAAGCTCTTTGCTCTCTTTCCCAGGCAGTCTTAGAAGAAAGTGGAGATGATAGCCTGAATGTAAGTACTGGGGTGGACTCAGAGGGCAACCAGTCTGGGGAACTGGATGGCAGTTTGCGCCTCCCATCCCTTGCTGGTCCCTTGCTGGTACTGGGACATGCCAGTGACCAGTGAGCTTTTGTGGTCTCTCTACAGGGGGAACTCAAAATAGAGGAAGGGAAGAAGCCTGAGGTAGGTACCATGAGTTCTGCTGTCCCCAGATGCTCCCCTCACGGCCACAACACTCCAGGACATCCCAGTGTGCCCCTGCGCAGCCCAGTGCATCCCACTACAACCCTCGAGAGCAGCCCCACACCCCAGTGTTTTTCCAGGGAGGCCCCCTTCCCCTGGGTCCCCCTTGCACTCCCATCCATCCCATTACAACCCAGAGCACCCCAGGATGCCCCAATACACGGCCATGCACCCAGGTGGGCCCCTTCTCCAGGATCCCCGCTGCTTTCTCTGTGCCACCGTACAAATTCACATACCCAATTTCTCCCTGAAAGCACCTTCTCCAAGGACCCCATTGCTCACTGCTTTCCCTGCCTGCCAGTACACCCCAGTGCACCCAAGGGTGTCCCTAACCCTCCCTTTCTCCCCAGGTTCCTTTCGAGGTGCTTCTCCGCCAAAAACGCCTGGCTGCAGGTCTTCGTGTCTAGGTGAGCAGCATCAGGGCATTTCCAGCCCCACAAGGGATTCTGAGACCCAGGAAATCCCTGAGCCCTCAGGGGTGGCCAGAGCTTGGGTATGGAAGACGGAAACAGAGGGGACTGTCCATGATCCATGTGCCAGGGCAAGCTGGACAGAGCTGCCTTTCCTTGCACTCAGCGGGGCTCAGCAGAACCAGAGGATCACCGTGCCGGACAGGCAAGGGCTCTGGTGCCATGCAGACCCCCAGGATCACCGTGAGGGCTGGGCAGGGCTCCGGGAGGTTTCAAGGCATCCTGTTGTAAGGGATTCTGGGTGCCCTATGGATCTCACAAGAGCCAAGCCCTATCCTAGGCTTACTGGGGTCTCCAATTCCCTTCTCCTTCCCCAGGTCTCTGCAGAGAGAGACACTGGGGACAAGGCCCCTCTCATGTGCCAGCAGACACCATGGGCGACTGTTTCATTTTGGGATCTGTTTTTCAGGACCGGAAGTGGTGGTGACATCCTTATTGTGTCCCCCTCCAGCGGCATGAGGAGGTGGTCGTCCCTGGAGGACCCCCCCTGAGCCCTGGGGAGCCCTGGACCATTTCCCTCTCATGATCAATAAACCCGTTCAGCAAAGCTGCGCTCTGTGTGCCTGTGTCTGTGCCCCCTCTCCTCTGCCAGCGGCCGCATGCCTGGATCCTCTCTGGCTGCATCACCACAGTGAGCAGAGTGGCTGAGGGAGTGTGGGCTCCTGTGGTGTCTGTGTAAAGGAGATTCCCTTCCCACACACCGTGTGCCCCAGGTAAGGGCAGATGAGGGCAAACTGGAGCGTCCCTCTGTCCTGGTTTAAATCCAGCTGGTAACTCAGCACCAGGCAGCCGCTCGCCCATCCCCTGGTGGGACGGTGACGGGAATCGGAAGAATAGAAAACCTGTACGTGGAGGTAAGAACAGTTTAATAATTGAAAGCAAGTAAAATACAGTGATAATATAAATAATACCAACAATAACAGAAATTATAATAATACTAGGAAGCAACAGAAAAAAAGAAATGAAAATCCAGAAAACACAAGTGTTGCCCAATACGATTGCTCAGCTTTGTAGGGTTTCCTAGTGTCATGAAATGTGGTGAGAGCATCTAGTACCTCCCTGCGGTACCTGAATAGAAACTTCCAAGCAGCAGCTTGTAGTTTTTACTGGAATCACTCCAATTCATCCTCAGGATACTCTCCCCGCTACCAGAATCTTCTCCGTACAGCTCCTACAATTTTCCACCAGCGCTCTTGTGTCTGCCAATCCTCCTTGCTATGTTGCTAACACTCTTCATACCCAAACCCCTCTACAGTTCATCCATCAACCTTCCCAAGCCTGTTTTTCCTGGTTGCCATTCATTTGGTTAGAGCTCTTGAAAACTAATCCGTTATTTGTTATGTGCTGACAGGCTCATGGGCTTTCAGATCATCTAAGGGCACAGTTTTCTAGTTTCCGTGTAGGCAGCAGTTG